TAGGGTGCTAGATGGCAAATAATGTTAATATGTGCAATAGGAACTACTGGTTTGAATGTGTAAATGGATGCTCTTTCTGAGTACTGGCAACCATCCAGCAAAACTACTGCTTATTCTCCAAAGACTATTGGGATCTCTCAGTCCTCAATGACATGGGAAAGAGAACTGAGTATTTGCCCTGTGACTAAGTTTTCTATAGGAACTTCATTAAAGATTGTTTGATTTTGTCATCTTCCTTCATGGTTCTCAAATAAATGGGTGAGCTGGTTTTGGCTACTTTTGGGATGTGTGGGCTGGTTTTGGCTGCTCTTGGGATGTGTGGGCCTCTTCCATATGGGCAGCACAGGTGTTTGGACCTTAAATGACCAAGACAAACGAACCTAAGGAATTGTGAGGCACATGGTCCCTTCCCTGACTTCACTCCTTGCTTCCCAGTCCCACTAGGTAGTATGGGAGGCCTCTTGGACTTTGGTGGGAGCCTGAGGCAAGAGGGTACCCTAATCAAGTTTTTGTATCTTGGGAGTTCCCTGAAGTCTGGGTGAATGCCTCTCCAGTTTCTCAATCTAAAAGCCAAGGCCAGACTGTACCACTTTGGTGCTCTCTCTTCCATGGGACAGATGCTCAGAGCAGGTCACAGCTTCTTGGAAATAATTCAGCTCAGTGTGGCGGTTGATGTCGCAACTTAGCATTCCCAGGGCTGGTGTAGATTCATTGAGAGTTCCGGGAATAGGACTCTAGAAGGATGGTTTGTGCAGGGGGTTTTGTCGGGTATCAGTTCATCATTATATGCACCAGGTTGTAGGTCAGGGGTTTGGAGAGTGGTGAACATTGCCAGGCAGAAGTATAGGGAACCTTTATAAATTATATGTTAAGTCAGTGAATATGAATATCGTTAAGGACCAGAAAGGGAAATGAACTTCCCCAGACAGTACTGGACCTGAGCCCAAAATGCTCTTTCCATACATTCCTTCCAACCCTCAAACTGTAGGCCCCTTAAAGACACCAGGACACTGTGGCACAGTAGCCCTCAGTAGCTGCCGAGCATCACTAGTAGGTGCTCCTATCTACTTGCTAAATCACATGTGTGATTCTCAGGAGGAGGAGGTGGAAGGCAGAGGATAACCAGCTTCAGGGATGGGTTGGGGTCTAAGGTGCAGGATGAGCTTCTTGCATGGGAGCTGGTTACTCAGTGACTTGGCTCTAAGTGCTCTGGTCAACATTGAATCTTACCCCAAAACTTTTAGCTCCTTCTCTCATTGGTACTTTCCCAAGTTTTCCCAAAACAGTTTTGGAAACCCTGTACATTTCCATAGTTGGGGACAGCATCCATATCTATCCGGGTCTGGGAACACACAGGATGACTGTTGAACAAGTAATCCCTGAGTATCTACCTCATGTCTGTAGACAGACCCTGGGCTGCAGAGGCCAATATTTGCAATGCAGCTCTGCCTCTGTGACCCTGAAGTAAGGTATTTTATTATTTCTTAGGGCCTGAGCTTCCTAGTTTATAAAATGGGACTGACAGTAACTGCTCCTCACTTTTGTGGAATGGGGAGAGGTTAGGTTAAAGCTGTGAGTGGGAACTGTCAGCACCAGACCTCAGCCAGTCAGCCTGTAATGTAGGGGTCACTCTTTGGCAGAAGGTGGAAAATTGGTTTTTGGGTTGGAAAGCAGAAAGGTACCATGCCATGTGACACTGACAAAGGGAGATGGGCAGCTCTTAGGAGGCGTCAGGGGCTGGGGTTTCTTGGAGGAACAGGCCTCTGAACTGAGTCTTCAAGGACAGATAGGAGCTAGGTGAAGGGGTGATGGGAACAGCAGACTAGGCAGGAAGGTACAGCATCTGTAAAGGCCTGGAGGTGAGAAAAAAGCAGGGTTCATGGGCAGTAACACACTCAACAATCACTTCTTTCCATCTGCCTCTTCCTCCACTCCAGAATGCTGCACCTCTTCTCAGGGATCCTGGATCTAGACATCAATCATTTGGCTTTTGTCCTTTGTGAAATGCCTGCTTAAGTCTTTTGTGCGTTTATTTGGCTACATGTTCCTTTGGGTTTTTTTGTTTTTTTTTAAATTTGGGATGGATTTTTTTAATTTTGTTTTTTGTTATGTGAAATTCTATATATATTTTGTATACAAGCCCTTTGTCAGTTGTGTGTGTTGGAAATGTCTCGTGTGACTTTCTCTTAAAAGTTTGTTCTCATAATTTTAATGTCAAGTTTATCATTATTTTCCTTTATGGTTAATATTTCTTGTGTAGTAGTTAAGAAATCTCTCTCTACCCCAAGCTAGGCATTTTCTCCTGGATTATCCTAAAAGCTTTATTTTTTACCTATTCCATTTAGATCTACAATCTGCCTGGAATTGCCTTTTATAGATAGTGTGAAGTAGCAGTCAAATTTTGTTTTTTCCCATATGGGCACCAAGTTGTTGTAGTGTCATTTATTGGAAAAATAATCCTTCCCCACTGTTCTATAGATCCGCCTTTGTCACAAACCAGGCGTCCATATATGCATGAGTCTGCTTCTGGATGCTAGAAGATACCCAGTAGATTTCATCTCCGTATCTTTAATTTTATTATCAAACTCATGCATACCATTAAGTATGCTAGGCACACATCTAAACTATATATATTTAATCCTTATAGCAATCTTATCTAATAAGTATGATTGTTCTTCCCCACTTTACAGATGAGAAAATTTAGGCACAGAAGGTTCAGTAATTGGTCTAAAGTAGAAGCCAATATTCAAATCCAGGGATTCTGTCTTGAGAATCGACATTCTTTACTCACAGTTATCGATGAGGCCTTCATATATATATAGAATCTCCTTGTTGAGATTCACAAAAAGAAACCTATGGAAATTTTGAATGGGATTGAATTAAATTATAGATTAGGCTGAGGTAAATTGACATCTTCAGAATATTGACTCTTCCAATCTATGACAACATAGTATGGCTTATCATTTTCTATGTGTAGTCTTGTATGTTTGATTTTAAGTTTAATTATTGCTCATATATAGCAGTACTTCTCAAAGAGTGGTCTCCTGACTAGGAGTTTTTGCATCATTTGGGAACTGATTTTAAGTGCAAATTCTTGAGCCCCACACTAGACCTACTTAACTGATTGAGAAACTCTGGAGATGGAATCCAACAACATGTGTTTTAATAAAAGTTTAAAGTTTCAGAGCGATCCATAGAAATACAATTAATGTTGTATTTAGCAGACTTAATAAGCATTCTTATTAATCCTATTTGTAGAAATTATTTTGATTTTTGTATATTATCATCTATAAGTAATTGTAGCTTTACTATTTCTGTCAACTTTTTTTTCTTGCCTTTCTGCCCTGGTTAGGAATTCCAACAGAAGTTTGAATAGAGGCAGTATCCAACCTTTTACTGATCCCAAAGGGAAAGTTTTCAACATTATGTATGGTGTTTGCCCTAGAATCTGGATCTTTCACCATCTTAAGGAAGTAAACTTCAATTCCCAATGGACCTTTTGTTTTTTTTAATTATGAAAGGGAGCTTCTGAATTGGCAAATGCATTGGCACACCTTAACTCCACAGGGAACAGTAGCTCCTGGGTTCAGGATCCACCCAGACCTTGCCCTATGGACCTCTTCATCAGTATGTTCATTCGTAATCTTTATGCTGACCCTTGTAATAAACTGGTAATAGTAAGTTTTAAAAAAATCATGAAAGGATGTTGAATTTTACCAAATGATTTTTCTTCTGTTTTACTAAGGTGATCATACGGTTTTTCTCATTTGCTGAGTTATAGTGATATGCAAATATTAAACCAAGTTTACATTCCTGGAATGAGCAACTTGATTGTGATGTATTATCTTTTTTTATATGTTGCTGGGTTTGACTGCCAGTATTTCATTTGAGAGTTTTGCATCTATTTTTATCAGTAGGATTGGTCCTTCTATTTTAAGGTCTGTGTCAGGTTTTGCTATCAAGATTTTTGTCATCTTATAACTCAACATTGATATTCTTCAAAGTTTGATAGTTTTGTGAGTGACCTTATGTTTGATGTTTTCTTTGAGATATGGATATTCTTTCTTTAATAGCTAGAGGGCTATTCAGATTTTTATATCTTGTGTTCATATTCTAATTTTCTAGGAAAGTGTCCATTTTGACTACATTTTCAAATTTTTTAAATTATGTTGAGTTTATTAATGTTGCAGGATTGATAGTGGTGTCTTTTTCACTCTTGGTATTGATTAGTGCCTTCTTTATTTTCTTAATTAGTCTCTAGAAGTTTTCCAATTACATTGGTCTTTAAAAGAATCAGCTTTTAGCTTTTTGATCCTCTGTTGTATGTTTTTCACTCTCCTTTATCCTTATTATTTCATTCCTACTTTATTTTTATTTATTTTGCTGTTATTCCGCCCCTCCAATTGGATAAGATGTTTGCTTAGCTGATCAATTTTAGCCTGTAATAGTAACAATCTTTATCTGTATCCAATTAGTTTTGCTATGAAGTCTTCATTACCATTCAGCAGAAAATATCAGCATTGTCCAGTAAACCAAAAGGTCTGGGTTTAATTCCTGGTCAGGACATATGCCTAGGGTGCAGGTTTGGTCCCAGTTTGGGTGCATGCAGGAAGCTGCTGATCGATGTTTTCCTCTCACACTGATGTTTCTCTCCATCTCTCTCTCCCTCCCTTATCCTCTCTCTGAAAATAAGTAAATGTTTAAAAATACAACTCTTGTGTACTCACAACTGTAAACCTCCTTTTGCCAATCCCTGTATATGTGACACTATTTGTCCTTAATATTAAGTTTCCAGATAGGAAAATGTTTCTCACTTTCTCCAATTAAACTAATAATTATATCCTTATGTACCAATTGCTTTGAACTAGAGAGACAACCTATCTGTACAAGTTAGAAATATAAGAAGACATCCATTTTTAAAAATACAAGCAGCACCAATTTTACTTCATAGTGTTTATTATAGTAAAAGTTCCTCTTGTAAAACATTAATGATTTTGGCCCATATCTTATTTTTCATTTGGCATTGGAACATTTTTACATTATTTACAAAGTAAATTGCAGGTTTTTTAATTGTACATAATTTTTTCCTCTGACCCTTGGAACATTACAGTTTCAAGTAACTAAAAACAAAAAACAAAAACACTGCAGACTAAATGTATGGAGAAGTACATATTGAACATATTTATTTACCACAGTATTTAAAAGTCCTGCTTGTTGCTTCTTAAGATTCTCATTAACATGAAGTCATTCAAGAAATCTCTGGGATTTCTCTATTATCCACAATGAGAGTGTGAATAATTCCTTCTTTCCGCTTCCCACTGCTGACAGCCTTTATGTAACAGTCATGGTTCCCAATACTGAAGTGAGTTTCCGTCCCATCATCTACAAACTCACCCTAGGCCAACAAAAGAAGGATGAATTAGTGTTCAAAAACATTAAGCTTCGTCTAGAGTATTAATACCATCTAAAAGGGTGGTGTTAATACTCTAGTGTTAATAGAGTATTAACACTCTATTAGAGTACTCTGGTGTTAATAATGAAGTACATATTAGTTAATGTTAAGCTTTGCAAAACTGTATCCAGATGATTTTATATTCGGCTATGGACTGAAAGTTTATTTGTACTCCCTACAATCTAAGAATCTTGTTTCTGAGAGAAAAAGAAAACATGCACCTCACAGCTCTGTGTCTACACCATATACTACACAGACAGAATATTTTCAAAAGTAAAAATGATAAACAGTCAGAAACAGTTACTAGTCACTTATTCTATACCAAGAACAGTTTACATGTGTCACTTCATTGCATCTTCACAATAACCCCAAAGAAGTGCTATTATCTTCATTTTATAGAAATGAAGAGGAAATTGAGGCACAGAGTGTCTAAGTAACTTGCTTACTAGCCAGTAAGGGATGGAGTGCTCTTAACCACTCTGCATGTCTGATTCCTCAGGATGTAAAGTGGTTTTACAATAAAATACACAGGTAACATAAAATCAAACACTACTCAGTCTAGACTAGCTCTGTCCAATGCAGCAGCCTCTAGCCATATGTAGCAAAATCGAGCACGAGGAGTGCAGTGAGTCTGACATGAGATACGTGATTAAGTGTCAAATCTGTACTGGATTTGGAATACTTAACATGAAACAAAGAATGTAAGATAACTCACTAATAATGTTTATATTGATTCCATATTAAGTAATACTACTTTGATAGACTGATTTAAATATATTATAAAATAAACTTCACCTTAAAACATGGCTACTAGAAAAATACACTTGAAGCTCACGTCTGTGGCTCATACTATATTTCTGTTGAATAGTACTACTGATCTGGAGTAAAAAGATAGGAGCCAAGTAGCACAGAGGATGAAGGAAGAAAAGGAGGATTAGAAGACAAAAAATGAATTAGCCAGAAAGCAAAGAAACCCCAGTCATACTCAGAACTTGGCTTTCTGGCAGCCAAAGCAGACAGAGCAAGGTCCTGTAGCTAACATTAGTTACCCAAAGAAAGCACAGCATACAACTGGGAGAGGAGCGTTTTCCCCGCTCTGAGAGGAATTTAGCCAATCGCTCTTATGGGAGGTGTACTGAACCTTCCAAAAGGACCGGGTCTGGTCCTTGAGTGCAGTGTGTTCTTTTCACTCTTTTATATTGAGCCTCAAAAAATGCCTTTATGTTGTACTTCTGTAAAGATCAATTTAGAGGGCAGGGCAATAGTTGAGAGAAAATCCCTCTAAGTAGCTTCTTGGCAATTTGACAGATACGTAATCTTAGTCACGATACTTGGAGATGAAAAGGAGAAAATAAGCTGTAACTCACAGGCAGCAAGAGCAGGTGTGCATAGTACTGGGGAGGCTGCCGGGTACAGAGCTGCCCAAATGGCCCTGCAAACTAGATTGTACTTGGAACCAGGTCATAAGGGGCTATTGTCCCACACACTTGTGGTTTCTGGTCAGTTATTGAGAAACAGCCATCATGGATTAACATTTTTAACTTCTTATTTACAACCACATTCTTAATATAAAACTATGCCTTCTTCACATTTGCACTGGAGAATTTCCTTGAGGATAGAAGGGAAATGCGATTCAAAACTGTTCATTCTCCGTCCAGAGAATTCTAGGGTAGGAAAGTAAGAACAGAAAGGACCGCTAGGTGTGGCATTGGGCACACAGTAGGTGCTCAATCCATGTTAATGGCAACCAAAGCTGTTTCAAAAGTGGTCATGAAATACTGAAGAGCTCTTCAAGCCTCTGCATAAGTCTTAGTCAGTAGATTGAACTTGGAGAGTGGCTCAAGCTCTGAGGATCAATTTTTGAGTTAGTCCTGGTTCAATTTCCCTTCAAGAATTAATACTGGGATTAAGAAAAAGAAAAGCATTCATCTTTGTAACTTTTGAATTCTGGCTTGGGCACTTCCTCACAAGCAGACAGCTGCAAGACCCGGCAGGTTCTAGGTGGTCTTAGTAAGTCCCTCTTCTCACCTTCCTATACCTACATTAGATAGAGGAGATAATGGCAGCAACTACAATTGTGCAACTTGCTAAAAATGTGACTAGAGAAGAGGGCATCTCATTCTGTAACTTTGGTGCACCTGAAGGCAGCAAGAAAGGCAGGTACCCCCTGCTTGCCAGTTGACCCCGTAACACATGGGAATTTCCACCCAGTGATTTCAGGTCCTGGTCCCACACTCCCTGCTCCCCAAAATAGTTTCTGCTTCCACTCCCTTCCTATGTTGTGTATACTACACCACTATTACTTCATTCCAGCTTGAAATTCACTCCTTTTATATCTCACCCACAGCATTAACAGTGCAAGCAGCTGACAGCAAAAGCCAAACACACCGGGGTTTAGATGGGGATCTCATCCTGCTTGGCCACAATGAGTGGGTAGCCTCTTGGCACAGCTAGTCTATAAATTCCACTTGCCTTCTGGGGGTTGTGACAGTGCCCTTTCCTGTCTGCCTTTGTGTTGTCATCTGACATTGTGTGCATCGTTTCCTTTTCAAAAACTTTGCTTTTAGGAAAGTACCATCTTTCAATTTGAGGGTATGGCGTAAAAGCCTTCTATTCAAAGTGTGGCCTGTGGATCAGCAGCACTGGCATCACCTGAGGAAATATTAAAAGTTGCATTTTAACAAGATCCTAAGTGATTCCTATGCATGCATGTTTGAAAAGTAGTGGCATAAAGCACACTTCAGGAAGATGCAATTTTGCCTGGGAAGAATTTTCTAATGTGGGAACTCTTTTTAGGAAAGAGCCAGGTCCAGGAACAGAAAGGTGGAGTGTCAGGCTGGTGCAAGTTTACAACTGAAATTGTTCCCAAACTCTTGCTGCTCAGGTACTTTCTAGGAAAGGTTTTAAGATTTCGGAGTCTGGAGTAACTCAACTCTTTTTTTTTTTCCCAACTAAGAGGATAGTGGTTTGTTGGGAAATGCCCTGTCTCATTCCAGGAACCGTAACCCCACCGACAGGCGGGAGGGCCCCAAGGCTGGAAATAATCAGGAGGCCTTGGAGAAACAGGGTCCCGAGGAGACATAACCTGCCCCCCCTGGCAGGGGCGTAGCTCCTGCCTTTCTGCTTTGCCGTGGATGACTGGTTATCAAGGACAGGTAAGTTACCTCGAGTAGAGGTATACAACCTAAGACAGATGCCAATCGAATATTGGCAGCAGACAAGAAACTGGGGGACATGGAGAAAGGGCAAAAAGGCCCTCACCTCTCAGCTCAGCTTGGACATGGCCGGAGTCCTCATTCTAGGCGAAAGAAGTCTCCTTGTCTCTTGGCGGCTCCCTCCCCCCGCCTGGCTCAGGCTTGAAACAATAAAGGAATCAGCCCTAAACCAGGTCTGGAGGTTCACAGGGAAATCAGGCCTAAAAGTAAAATCTTTAAAGTGTGCTTTGTTTTTCCCTCAAAAGCTCTAGCCAGCTCATGCTGGGAAGGAAATTTACATTATTCACAAACCCTAACCCTATTCCCTTGGGCACTCTTATGTTTACTACGCTCTCAAGTTTAGTCATCTCTTTTGTTTCCTAGTCTCCTCTCGGACCCATGTGAATTGGTGTGTTTCTGCAATTTGTTTTCTTCAAAACATCACCCATTCTCTGTGAGCATTAACATACTGATGTAATGAGATAACCTGTGCATTCCTGTTACCTAGCCCCACTGATAACCTTTTCAATAAAAGCCTTTGAACAAAGGGACTCTGGGCCTCCCCCACTAGAGGGATGTGCCACATCCCCTCTCCTGGCAAACAGAGAAGCATTTGCAACGATTCATGTTTATTCCCCTCATCTGTGACAATCCCGGGATGGGCTCTCCAGGATTCAGAGCCCTGCTCCCATCTCAGCCGGCCCCGGATGGTAACCCTCAGATCCCGGGAGCGCTGCGCTCCCCGCGATGTGCTCCATCCCTCCGACGTGGCAGTCGCTGCCCAGGCCGGGAGGAGCGGTGACCCAGGTGGCATTTCCCATGGCAGCGGGCCCTGTCTCACTGCCACGCAACACAACAGTGGTTAATTATAAAATCTTCATAATAAGAAAACGTAGCAGCATTTCAACAGTAACTTACACGCATGGTGCAAAGAGTAATCAAAATGTCAACTTACTGCTGTCTCCATTTTTTGACCATTGCACCAGACATCCATAGTATCTTTTTCTGTAAAAGTAATAAATTTTAAAATATTATAACCTATAATCTAAAGATAAAGTCAACTCTATTATTTTTTAGAAAGATTTGATACACTGGATTCCTAAAAGTCCACTAACTTTTCTCAGTTTTCAAATTCTTGTAAATTTGAAGAGACTGATTATTCTTTGTTCACAGACAAAATCAAAATGAAATAAAACAAGCTTTTAAGAGAAAATCCTGGTCCCAATAAAAATTGATGAAGACGTATTGTACAAAATAAATACTGCCCCACAATCTTTAAAGGAGGATCATACAAATCATTGTGAGGAGGGACACCCCACTTCTCACACAGACCCAGCTGGGTGGCAGCACAAACAGACCACCCCAAAATGCTGCCACAGGGTTCACGCAGGATGGGGAGCATGTCAGGGTTAGAAATTCAGCCTGACGTTTCTTACTGGATAGCACAGTAATCTCCATTCATTTTTGTCATCGTTTCAGTGTTGGGAAAAATTATTGGATCATAAGGAAAAAAAATATAGGTACACCTGGTAGAGCATGCTAAGTACAGTGCTAACACAATAGAGCCAAATGCCGCCATGACTCACCTGGGCGTTAAGTGACGCCGACATCGCTCACTTCAGGAGGTGGGTATATATGTGTGCACATGTGCACAAATGTACATGCATTTTGGGGACAGGATTCCCCGTACACACTTATTAATGTCAGTGTCCTGGCAAGTGGCAGGAGAAAAAGCAGCACTCAACAAGCAACCCGAAGATGAGCTTTGGGAATAATGACGACTACAGAGATGCTGGACCTGTGTCTGCACAAGGGGTCCAAGGGGCAGAAACTTGTCTGGGGACAAGGCTGAGGCGCTAGTCTGGCTTGACACAGGCCATCGACTCTGGAACATGGTCTAAAGAGGATTCTTTTCTCCCCATACCCGGACATGGGAGCCTCACTTAAAGGGAGGAGAAAGGACTCCGAGCCGGCGAGAGGCGGGGAAAGGCAGAGGGGCCCCTGCCGCAGCCTGAGTAGGAAGCATCTGCAGCCACCGTGTCAGGGAAACCCAGCGTGTCCCAACATGCGATCAGATCACACAGTGTTAAACCACAATGGGGGTGAAACTGGAATTTTACTTAGTATGCTTACTGAATGTGCGCATGTGCTCAAATTTTCTATAATAGCTATTATTAACATGCCTCTAAAGGACACCACTAATCCAGAAGCCATAAAAGAAACATGGAATAAATTTGACTACCCAAAAGTAAGAAAGTTTTCTGCATAAACAAAACCATACACACACATTAAGTAAAGTCATACAAGAAACGACAAAACAGGAAAAATATTCAAAACTCACAACACAGAGGGCTAAATTTAGTAATATAAGGACTCCTCCCTCACAATTAAGGAGAAAGAGGCTGACAACCCAAAAGAAAATGGGTCAAGGAACATGAACAGGCTTTATTAGAAAAGAAACTCAGAAGGGCCTTAAACACATAAAAAGGTGCTCGCCCTCACTGAATTTTGAGAAAGGCAAATAAAAGTAACACTGAAATACTATTTTTCACCTCACAAAATATCAAAAATCCAAAAATCCAACAACATGCTGTCTGGAGAACCTGTGGGGAACTAGGCAGTGGGAGTACAAAATGGTAAAAGCATTGTGGAGGGCGGCTGGGGAAAATCGAAGAAGACAAACGCAATTAATCTTTGGCCGAGCAATCCCACTTTCCCTCTTCTGAGAATTGGTCCTAAAGAGGTGTGTGCACTGTATCCCAAGAGGCATGTGACTGAACAAAGTCATTCAATACTGCTTCTAACAGTAACAGTAGAAACAGCCCAAGTGCCCATCAGTTTGGAATGAGTTAGAGAAACTATTTTATTTACTATTTAAATTCACTCTGCAGCTATGCAAAAAACTATGAGACTGTTCTTTATGTACTGATATAAGAGGATCTTCAGAATATAATAGTAAATCAATAATAAAGGTGATCTTATGTAATAAGGAAGTAATAAAATATTTATATTTGCTTGAATTGGAATAAACACTAGAAGGACTCTATTAAAAATGGGTTACCTTGGACATTTCTTGTAGCAACATTTTTTTTCTGATATGCCTTCTGACATTGTGTGCCTTGGGCAAGGGGAACAAAAGAGAAAAATAAACAAATGGGACTACATCGAACTACAAAGTTTTTGCGCAGCCTTGGCGGGCTGAATGGCAGGCTGCAAACTGAAAGGCTACCCGTTCAATTCCTGGTCCGGGAACATACCTGGGTTGCTTGATGTTTCTCTCCCTCTCTTTCTCCCTCTCTTCTCCTCTCTCCAAAAATAAGTACATAAAATCTTTTAAAAAATAAAAATTTTAAAATAAAAAAAAAGTTTTTGCACAGCAAAGGCAACCATCAATAAAATGAAAAGGGAATCCACTGAATGAATGAACATATTCACCAATGATACTTCTAATAAGGGGTTAATGTCCAAATTTTATAAAGAACTTATAAAACTCAACACCAAAAAAAAGTTCCAATTAAAAAATAGGCAAAGGACCTGAACAGACACTTCTTCAAAGAGGACATAGAGATGGCCAATAGACATAAGAAAAGATGCTCAATGCCACTAATCATCAAAGAAATGCAAATTAAAACCACAAGGAGATATACCTCATAGCTGTCAGAATGGCTACCATTAATAAACAAACAAAAAACAAGTGCTGACGAGGATGTGGAGAAAAGAGGATCTTCATGCGCTGTTGGTGGGAATGCAGACTGGTGCAGCCACTGTGGAAAACATTGTGGAGATACCTCAAAAATTAAAAATGGAACTGCCTATGACTCAGCAATTCCACTTCTGGGAATATATTAGAAAAAACCTGAAACAATAATTCAAAAGAATATATGCACCCCTATGTTCACTGCAGTGTTATTTACAATAGCCAAGATTTAGAAGCAGCCCAAGTGCCCATCAGTAGATGAGTAGATAAAAAAGCTGTGGTCCATTTACACAACGAAATGCTACTCGGCCATAAAAAAGAAGGAAATCTTAACTTTTGTGACAGCATGGATCAACCCAGCGAGTATTATGCTAAGTAAAATAAGCTAGTCAGCAAAAGACAAGTACCAGATGATTTCACAACATGTGGAATCTAATGAGCAAAATAAACTAACAAACAAATTTTTTTAAGTGGCTATATTTATGGAGTAAACAGAGTGGACAGGAATAGCATTAGAAGCATGGTTTCTCCATGTATCTTTTTATATCATTTTTATTTCTGAATTACATATCACTTATTCAAAAATACATGTTATATCCTGACCAGTGTGGCTTATTTGGGCAGCATCCACAAAGTGAAAGGTCACTGGTTTGATTCCCAGTCAGGGCACATGCCTGGGTTGCGGGTTCGGTCCTAGTTCAGGACATGTACGAGAGGCAACTGATCAATGTCTCTCTCATGCATCGATGTCTCTCTCCCTCTTCCTCTTTTTCTCCCTCCCTTCCCCTCTCTCTAAAAAGAAATAAATAAAATCTAAAAAACAAAATCAAAAATAAATATGTGTTATAAAAGAACATGTTGATCTGATAAAGCATCAAATCAGTTACATCTCAGGAGTGGATTCAGTGAGTCAAACGAGGTACTGAAGCATGTTCATCTTGGAGCCTGTCCTCTCTGCCTACCTGCAGATTCCATTGGCCCATGTGACCAACAGCTCTGGAGTCTACATCCCAAGCAGCAATGCACAAGGTTTCAGAACAGAAAGAAATTCCTCCCAGCATGAAGTTCAGCATAACAGTACTTTCCTCTTGCTGTCTTTCTTTTCCCCTCCCAGTGTTCAGCAGTGTGGCGACTACCAGGCCTAACAATGCTGACCGGCGCTATCTTCAGGCCCCCCCGGGTACCTCCCATCTTTTGGGTGTTGAAAAAGAAGGTACAGGATCTCTGAGGTCAGAGAGGCCTGTGTTCAAATCCCAGCTTCATGATTTACTGGCAGGACGCTTCTGCAAGTCACCACCAGTCTGAGTCTCAATTAGCCTCAGTTTCCTCATGGGTAAAATATGAAGACGATACCATTTTTCTTGTAGACTGTTACAAGGATTAGAAATAATTTACATAAAAGGCCTAGCATAGTATCTGACATGAGAGATAATATGGTCTCTCAGGATATTGTACTGTTTTTGTTATTAAGAGCTTTTTCTGGCCTTGCTCTGTTTTAACTTCTTAATGTAAAATTTAGAAAGCTACATAAATATGGTTACTTGAAATCTGTCAAATAGTAAGTATGGAGGTAGCTTTCATCCCAAGACTCTAGGTAAGTCCATTGTTTGCCCATGTGTAACAGTAATAACCACAAATAATGTTTTAGAAGAACTCGCTACTATGAGATACATTGATGTGTTTTTTTATGTACTCTATTAAGCTTCATCCACGCTACTCTGCAAGGGAGGCACTATTATTATCCCCATTTTACAGATGAGGAAAACAGGGCTCAGGGGGTAAGTAATGTGTCCGTCACACAGCTATGACCCAGGAGCCTGCATGCTTCATCACTGATTTGCAAAATGCAGGCCTTAGTTGGAAGAGTCTGGGATTTGGTGGATCCTGTAAGTGGAAGCTCAAGCAATAGGAATCCTCCAGACAATTTTGCTCTCACGTCAGTAAACAGTTCTTGCCCTGTCCTTTTACCAGATCAGCAAAAGGGACAAGTTTGGGCTGAATTTTTCTCTTTTAGGCTCAAAAGGAGCTGTAAATGGATAAAGAGGAGTGAAGACAGACAAGGAGTGGAAGGAGGAAATGAAGAGATTTTAAAGGCCAACAGAAGCCACAGTGGATATGCAGACTCTTGGGCATTTAAAAGAAAACTAACCATAAGATAGGCATAGGTTAGGTAGCCTATTCCATTTTGCCTATGAAAAGTTGACTGTATTACAATATTGGGAAAGTAGCTGATTAAGTCTCTAAAATTATTTTAAAGGCTTGGTTTCATCATATGAAACCCAGTATGTTAAAATGTAATGACGCTAATTCTAACCCTTTCAAAACCAAAATTTCCATTAGTAAGTAATGAGATAGAAAAGTTCTCAAACTTTATTGTAAAGTGAGGCACTACATTACTAAACACATCATTGTGAAATTTTGAAAAATAAAGATGAACCTCCAAAAGCTTCCAAAAACTAAATATACTCTTACTATATGATCCAGAAATCAAGCTCCTAGTTATTTATCCAACTGCTTAAAAAATTTATGTCCACAAATGCACAGAAATATTTATATAGCTATTCATAACAGCCAAAAATTGGAAGTAACCAAGGTGAACGGATAAACAAACTGGCTATTCCATACAATGGGATATTATTCACAATAAGAGATCAGCTATCAAGGCCTGAAAAAGACATTGCTAAGAAAAAAGCTCGTCTGGAAAAACTACATGTAATATGATTCCAACTATGTGACATTCGCAAAAGGCAAACTATAGAAACAGCAAAAAGATCAGTGGTTGCCAGGTGCTGGGAGAGGAATGAGGAGAGAGATGAACAGGGAAGAGCATGGGATTTTTAAGGCAGTGAAACTATTCCATATGATACTGTAATCCTGGAATATGACACTATACATTTGGCGAAACCCACAGAATGTACAATGCAGGAGTGAACTCTAGTGTAAGGTTGGATTTTAGTAAATAATGTGTCAATATTGATTTGCTAATTGTAATGAATGCACCACACCAATGCAAGATGTCAATAACAGGGAAAACTGAGAGGAAAGTAGGGAGGGAGAGGGAGAAGGGAAGAGAGAAGGAAACAGCAATGTGAGAGAAACATCAACTGGTTCCCTCCCATCTGTGCCCTGACATGGGGATCGAACCCGCAACCCAGGTATGCACCCTGACCAAGGATGGAACCTGCAAACTTTTGGTTACCGGAGGATACTCCAAGCAACCGAGCCACACCAGCCAGTGCTCAACGTACTTTTTGACAGAAACAGATTATGTCTGAAGACAGTGGAGTAATATACCTAAGATATTTTTAAAATTTCTTTATTGATTTGAGAGAGAGAGAATAATCGATTTTGTGGTTCCACTTATCTACGCATTCATTCGTTGCTTCTTGTATGTATCCTGATTGGAGATTGAATCCGTAACCTTGGTGTACTGGGATAATGCTCTAACTAACTGAGTTACCTGGCCAGGGCTCTAAGATACTTAAGGAAAGAAAATGTGAGCCAAAAATATTATATCTAACCAGGTTGACCTCCAAGTATAAGTGATACAAATGTCACCAACATGCCAGAACTCAGGCAATATTGTTAATATTCCTAAGGAATATACTAGGGAACAAGTTTCAGACAAGCAAAATGATCATAGAAGAGTAATATAATGACGTAGAGAACTAAGTATAGGTGGGAAGGAACAGAGCATAGTATATAATGGCTCTATGTTCATAGAGTAAATTGGAAAATGATAAGCAAAAAATGTTTTAAATTTTTTTGGTAATCACATTAATGGTGGTAGTATTTGTGATGTTAATGAAAACTATGTGTGTTATGTGGCACAAAGCAAATAAGTAATTATGTCATATGCTAATTGCCTCCTTCTTTGTGTCCTTGAGAAAGATTCTCAGTGTGGAAGAAAGGACATATAGATGTTAGATGAAGTCCATCCATCCATCCGTCCATCCGTCCGTCCATCCATCCAGCTATCCATTCATCTATGTAATTTCCTTGCTTCATACACTGAAAACCAAGATAGTAAATGTGCATCCTTAAGGTATGTTTACATTATGTTCTTGAATTAGTACTATTTCCCTCTAAGAAAAATCAGGTCTTTTTGGAAAAACAGGTGATTCCAGCTCTAGGCAGGAAATTTTCAAAATGATGAGCCTAGGGCATCTTGTCATACCAGATAGCAAGTAAACTATCAAAGGATGTGTCAAAAGGACTCAGGAGCCAATCTAAGGAGCATCCCACTGGCCAAAAAAGGGGAAAATTTGAGCATCAATAAAGATAACACCTGAAATGTATAGAAATACATAAAAAAAATTTAAATCCATGAGTTAATAATGATTTTTAAAAACCTAAATAATCACCTTTTGGAGGAAAATAAGGAGGCAATTCAATATATTGAAAACGAATAAAGGGAAAAGAAGCAGTTCCCTCCCTCCCTCCCCCCTCCTTCTCCCCTCCCTCCCTCCCCCCTCCCTCCCCCCTCCCTCCCCCCCTCCCTCCCTAGGACATGCTTCTGGATTTTACAGAGAAGGGAGGGGAGGGAGATAGACAAACATCCATGTGAGAGAGAAACATCATTCTGTTGCCTCTTGTATGTGCTTCCATTGGGGACAAACTTGCAAGCTAGACATGTGCCCTGACTGGGAATGAAACCCATGACCTTTCAGTTTATAGGACAGTGCTCCAACCAACTGAGCCATACCAGCCAGTTCCTGAATTTCTTATACAAATTTTACCACTGTGTAACTAAATAGTAGATAACAAGAAGTTTTTCATTAAAGAAGTATTTCAGCTAATGAATAAATGATAGAATCAGAATACCACATTTGGTAAGTGCTAATGAATTAATGGATATAGGCACTAGGCATTAATGGTTGTAAATGTCAAAAAAAAATTGACAATACCATGTGCCTCTTGATATAACAAACTATAAAGTGGTCTTGCCAGGAAAAATAAAAAATCCAAACAAACCTACATTTGACCAATTCTTCAGAGTAAACTACCAATGTACAGGAAATAGTAAGACAGAGGAACATCACAGGAATGCAATCAACAAGATCCAGACCACAGGAAACTCTTCAAGACAAACTGACCCAGTTTCTTTAATACATAAGGTGTACAAGAGTTTCTGGGGTTTTTTTCCCCCTAACTAAATGCATTTATGACTTAAACATTTTTCATCCTTAAAAAAAAATTAAGAGTCATTTGCCAGCACTGGACTGGACTGTAGAATCCTGAAGACATAGACAAGGTCTCTGCATCCATGTGTCCTCAGTGCCTGGTACACTAACCACCATTTAGTAGACACTCAATATTATCTAAGTAAATAAATCAGTGAATTAACGAGATGTTTTAAACAGTCTTAACTTTAGTGATATGAGGAGGAAAACAAGGAGAAACTAGAAGAGAGAAAAAGTAGTAATTGGTAAATATTTGTCCTGCAAGGTTTGAGGGCCAACAGAAACTGTGAACAGAGATGTTAATCTATAACAACAGGATTTAGCTTAAAGCACAATGGCTTGTTAGTTTTTATTTTTTAATCTGCTTTATCTGGACTCTGACAATTTTGATCTGCTGCAGTCCTAAACCTATCGCCACCTAGAGAAAAATTCCCTTCTTATTGATGAATCTTAAACTTTCAACTGCCTTTAGACATACCTTTAAAGTGAAATAACCACTTTAATAAGAGAAAAGCCTGAACTCACATATGAAGAATCCACATTAACAAAATCAACTTTCTCTGTATACCATATTTAAAAAGTAACATGAAATATCAAAGAACAAATGTCTATACCAATATCTGTTTTTTTAAACCCAAGTTTATAATCCTCATATCCATCATTATAAAATCTGTCTCTCATATATTTTATATATACATCAATTTATTAAATGACTACTTCATTCACACAGAACACATTAAAAATACACCTGCACTTACACTCCCGCTAGTCAAAGCTTCCATAAAAGGTCTTGACAGTTAGAGAAACTAATTGAACAGCCACCACAAAAGCCAATAAATTCTGAAGAAACAACAATTCACTTACCCAACACAACTCTAAAGTCCTCACCATCCAAATGTAATACCCAAGTATTGGTGGTTTTTGATCTGTTCTCCATATACTTCTTGAGACTTTTCCCATTAATTTCCAGAGTATATTCATAAGCAAAACCACTGACAGCATCTATATTTATGGTTGCTTTTGTCTTTGCAGCTCCAACATAGAAGGTTTCTTTGCCCACTAATTTGAACATCCATTCTTTTCTTATCTCCTCCTAAGTAATAAAACAGAAAATTGAAAAAGCACAAATGGGAGAAAATTTAATATTTAATTTTAGAAAAATAGAATTAAAGTGAGCAAATGACAATGCTAGTTAGACATAATTTTATTAATTTGTGATGCAACAGTTTTAGAAAATAAAGGCATTTTAAAAGTTTAAATATTAGATGTTATAGTCTATGAATTCTGTAACTATTACTAGATTGCCTTGTACAGCAAAATGATGTAGGCCAAAATATAAAGAGAACCACTTTAATAAGAGAAAAGCCGGAACTCGTATATGAAGAATCTACATTAACGAAATCAACTTTCTCTGTATACCATATTTACAAAGTAACAAGTTTTTTCCTACCTTCCCATCTACATATACCACTCGTTTGCCAGATGTAGTCCCATGTTCAAATTCAATCTTATGGACTCCATCACTTAGAGCAACATCCCAAACAGCGACAAGATCTGTCATTTTTTCCAGGCTATACGGAGGGCTAAGGGAATAAAATACAGCAATTACAATAGGCCAAAGACAATAATAGACTAGCCAATTAATCCGTCCAAGATGAAAACAGATTTTTAAAACCCCTGAAATTACAAAATATTAAAGTAATATTACCTAAGAAATCCTATATGTACATGTAACTATCTTCTCCCTCCTAGATACTCTTCCTTTAAGATAAAAGTACTTTATATGGGTACACAGTCGGATAATTCCAAAGTCACCTTAATATTAACAGGATTAAGAATCTAACAGTTTATCCATGACAGTATTCTAAGCTTGGCTACAGAATAATGCTTGGAAAGGTCAGTAAGAAGTCTCTACTTCTCCCTCCCCTCATTTAAAAAGCACACTATTTAATTTTGGATTTTCTTTTCCAGATCTAAGCACTCCGAAACAAGAATTCTACAAAACTTTCATTCTTAAACCAATGACTTGGAATTAATTCTAACAACAACAACCACCAAAAAAAAGGTTCTAATTCATTAAAGTAAGACTGAGAAGTCATGGAAGAAATGTCCTATAATACAAAGTACATCAACTGTAATAGAATAAACATGATTTATAAATTTAAAATAAAATAAAAACCAAGTACAATGTTATGGAAAATAGTAACTCATCATTACTACAGGAAACCTTATTAAAAAAATAAAGGATTCTATTTACTCAGAAGTTCCTAGACCAACTTAAACACATATTTTAATATAAAACATATATTAAAACATAATATAAACATTTTAATATAAAACATGTATTCTATGTAAATGACATGTATAATACAAATATAACAGATAAATAATATTTTGGTATTGATACAGGTTTTTAGCTTTGAGAGAAGTAACATTACAGCATTAATGATCATAGCTAACAGGTGAGTGCTTACTGTGTGCCAGTCACTGTTCTGAGAGCTTTACATACAGTAATTCATGGAATCCTCACCATGAGACAGGTATTGTTATTATCCCTATTTTAATGATGAGGAAACTGAGGCTCAAAGAGGCTCGGAGCTTGTCTTAGGTCACAATGACAGTAAGTGGCAGATGGGATTTAAACTTAGGACTCTGGCTCCAGAGGCTGTTCTCTTAACTACATCCTACTCTTCATTCCCTCTAATCTACTTTGTGTGTTCCATAGCAGAGATACTAAATGGGCTTTGTATCATTTTGAAGTGATTGCCAAGAACTTTGTGCTGAGAGCGATCTGGAGATCCTATATCAAGTCCTATAAAAGATGCCACGTTAGTGATGGCCACCTTCATACCAGGTGTTTACTACCCGTGCTCTACATCACAGAAAAGCAAAACCGTGCATTCTGCAATTTTACAAAATATGTCCTTTAAAAAGTAGCCTGGGTAAATAACTCTTCTGAATGATTAAAACAATCTTGAAAGTTCCAAAAGCTAGTTTTATTGCAATGCAAGACATTTACCTTTCATCATCTTCAAAGATAGGACTGTCATCTCCAGATGCCATGGTTGGCAAAACAGTCTTTAATCCAATTAGCAGCCAGGAAAGAAAAAAGCAGAATTGCAGGCAAGAAAGATTGAGAGCAACAAAGATGACATCTGCGATGGGTTTTTCTAACTTTGCAACCCATTTCTTAAATTGCATGCAGTTTCTGATGAAACAGCTTTTACATACATTAGAATTGCAATCACTAATTTTTAGGAAAAGAAGTCATGTAAATTGACTAATCATATTTTTCTGTTATGGATTTATAATTTCCTAAAACTAGAGAACAAGCTCCAGTTTATTTTAAGGATTGTATCACACCAGAGCTTCAAGAGACCCAGAGGTCCTCTGGGTCCCACACTTCTCAAACTGAGGCAGAAGAAGCCTCGTGGATATGAGGCAGCGGGTCAGAGAATACATAAAACTCCAGGAGAGACAGAATGCATCTCCTGGAAGCATCAATGTTACAGGTGACAAATGTTAAATTTGTCACCACAAATTTAAAATGCAGTCTTTATATTAAACTTTAGAAGGCCACATTATGGTAGAATATCTGATTTTTAAAATTTTTAGATAATTTCAAAGAAATGTTGAGTTTGCAGGAAGCAGCCAAGAATATGCTAGTTTTCTTTGTAAGAGCAAACAGAATTTATCCCTTTACTCAAGCGCACTTAATATACTAGTGCCAATAATGAATTCACAGAAGTTATGTGGCTTGCTCAGGTCACTAGCAGGGCCCAGGCAAAACTAGAGCCCAGTGCTTCTGCGCAACTGACTACACAGTAAGGGGGCAGTAATGCTAATTGAGTGTTTTTATTGAGATCAGAAGGAGAAATACACTCATATACATAGGAAACCCTCCACATTTGAAGACTTGGGATTAATGGTACTACCCCTGCCAAACCTACTAAAAAAACAGGCACACTCATTTTTGCTCCCAAAATCTACCCTAGCCTAGCTCTCTCCTTATAGATACCCAAGGATGCTTGCTCCTTGTTAAAAATGAGAGATCACCAACCTTTGGCTAAAAATAGCCAGAAGCCACAAGTTGTTTTTTAAAAAATGTTACGAGATTAGCATCCATAAAAGCAATATAACAGGAAAAAAAAAAAAGCAAAGATTTTTAGAATGAAAACTAGGTAAATATTCAAAATACTTTGTATCTAAAATGAACCCCTCTTTTTTTTATTAGCACCTTACAACTATCTACATTATTGTAGAAAAATCTGCGTACACTATTGTAGATAGTTGTAAGGTGCTAATTTGTAGATTTTTCTACAAATTTGTCGATTTTTCAATTTGTAGATTTTTCTAGTCTTAAGAAGCCCTAGCATATCTCCTGTGAAAGTGGAGGGTATCCTACAACTATGAAAGCAAAGAGTATACAAAGCAATAGAGTAAGCCAAACAGCATAATAGCAACTTGGATAAGGCATCCTTTGCAGCATAGTGGACTTAGGGATATTATTCAAACTGCTCTACAACTTTTAGAGGCTTAAGAAAGTTCAGTAATTTCAGCATTCAAACTTGAAAGAATTGCCCAGTTATGCATTTTAAGCAACTTCAAGTATTATCATACCAAGATAAGGCATGGTACCATCTTAACTATAACGACTTCTCATATAGGTATAAAAAAATCAACACAGCACATTAAAAGGGAGGTTAGAAATCAAGATAACATTTAAAAACTTCTTTTTATTGAAATTATCAACATTCATTCATATAGTCAACATTTATTTATGGAATACTTGTTTAAGGTGTAAAAAATTTTTGGAAATAGTGATGATGGTTGAACAACACTTGACTGACTGTATTTAATGTTACTGAATTGTTAACTCTTACAAGTGGCACATTTTATGTCATATATATTTTACCATCACTTTAAAAAAGTGTAATATACCAAAAAAATTGAATTGCACAATTTAAATGTGTGAATTATGTGGTATATGAATTATATATCAATAAAGTTGTTAAAAAAAATAAAAGACCCAGGTGCCCTGCCAGTAGTGTTTCTTGGAATGTGATATCACTTATAGTCAAGGGATGATCACAGCTGACCCTGCCCCTAATTCCTACCTTACTCATTTGAATGAGAAATTGCTGTCACACACTGATCTCTAACTTACAAATTGGACTTAATAAACACATGTCATATTCTAAATTCATCCACCATGGTAACAGTTATCAGTCACGTATATGCCGGGCACTAAACTGGGCACTAAGCTCAGGCTGAGGGACTCCACAGAGACCAAAAGATGATGACAGCACAGCCACAGGGGTGTCTTGTAAAGGGAGTAAAAGACAGAATGGGCCCACAGAGAAAGGATCCTAACCCTGCCAAATGTGCGGGAAGGCCAGGGAAGTTCTTGGTTTAAAATCTGGAGAAAAGGAATGAAGGTATTGATTAACTCTAAGACATATTTTTTAGGATCATGTGACCAAAAAGGAAAATGATCATGACAAAGAAAAATTCCTTCTATTTTAGCACAGAACTTTTAAAATGCAAATGAAAAGGATGGAAAAACAAATTCCCTTTATTTGTAGTGATGAGGATAAGGTCACTCACTCGAAGTGTTTTACAAGTTTTTAAAGAAAGCTCTTGATTATCTAGGGACTACCTATCACCATAATCTTTTAAAATCCCTTTCCTTGCAACCCAACACCCATGTTTCAGAGTATGACTTAAACATTAAAACGTATCCACAATTCATATAACCCCAGTTTGAATTTTAACTTAGATTTAACTTAGATTTAACTGTATCGGGACTGCAGTAGTTTGTCCAAGCTAAACCTAAATCAGTTTTTAAAATTACTAATATACTCATAGTTCCCCTTTCAGCAAAAGCTCTGGTTCTGGGTACAGCCAGCCACAAGGCAGGTCACTCTAACAAACTGGTATTGACATTTTGCCCCCTGTCTCCTGTGACACACTGGGACCTACAACGAAGTTGGTTAGATAGTTCCTTGAACCAGATATTCTCAAATGTTAGCGGAGGTACAAAAAAAACACAACACAACACAACACAACACAACATGAGAATAACTCTTCTAAGAAGCAATTCTCAATGTATATATACTACAAGCCTTATAGAGGAGTCATTGTAAAAAATGATGCTCAAAAAACCAGACAGAACAGTGCTAACAAATTGCTTTTGTAATAGCTTAAAACGGAAAACCACCTGTATGTTCACCATCAGGGAGGGAATCCATTAAGTAAATCACAGTCCTGTCACTCAACAAACTGAAGGTCAAGCCCGGGCCAGACTCCAGGGAAGGATGCAGAGGTCATCCTGGCACACAGGATCACGGTCTAGTGCGGTCAATAAGAAGAAACGTAGAAAAATATTTAAAGCCGAAGGTAGATGCTCATGATGTATTAAGAGAAAGAAGTTACAGCACTTTCTGACCCAGGTCCTGCAAAAACGTAGTCTGATATTGCTTATAGGGAAAAGGAAGGAAATACACCTTGATGCCAACCCAGGTGGTCTCTGGGCTGCACCCGTGCACGGATTCGGCTCAGGTGCTTCCTTCCTTGTGCTTTTCTTTTCCACTTTTTCGACAGCGATAGGTACAATCTTAACTTTACAGCTGGGGGACAAGGCCGGAGGCTGGAGCAGCTGGTCGCAGCGCCTGGCCGGGCAGAGGCGCGCCAACCCCGGGTCCCCACCTCTGACCACGGCTGGGCCGGCCGTTAGGAGACGCCCGGAACACACTCCGGTGGGCGCGGTGCCTCGCCGCGGGCTTGCAGGGGCCACGTAGACACCACCTCCCGGCTCGCAGCGCCTACCGCCGCCACGGGGAGATGGCGGCCGCCCGCGCTAGAGGGGGCGCCCGGGCCTGAGCGCAGGGGCTTCCGGGGGCCGAGCCGCGGCGCCCCACGTGGGCCTCGAGTCTCACCTGTACGCAGTGGGCGGTGGGAGGCTCTGGGCCAGGCCACAGTTCGGTACGGCCTCGGGCACGTACGCCAGCGGGACTTCTCCCTTTGTCGAGAACCAGACGCAGCTTCCGCGGAAGCTGAAGCTCGGCGAGCGCGAATACCAAGCGCGCCGGTTTGTCGCGCTTCAGGTCCCCTAGGGTGCCCAGCGCAGGCCGCCGGCCGCTCGCCGCACGGCAATCCAGCCCCGCCCGCCGCTCTGCGGATGGCTTTTCGCTTTCGGCAGAGGCCCTTCCACAACCCCCACCCAAGAAACACAGCCCCGCGCTGCATCCAGTCACCCAGCCAACAGTGTTGGGAAGAACCACCAGATGGCTGGCGCTGGGCTGGAGGCTGGGGATGATAACCTGGTGGGGCTAAAACGGCCCCTGTGCGTGCGCTGAAGACACCGGGCAGGTCAACCTGATGAGGGTATTTGCTCCTTGAAACCTCTTCATGGGTTCTGATTACTTCTTTAGTTTAGAGATGCAAACTCCTTTTGGGAGGCATAAGGCCCCGCATGTGATGTAGTTCTTGGCCTACCTGGCTTCATTTAGAAAATCAGATGATGCAAGCTCGAGCTCCCCTCAGGGCCTCCATAATGTTCCTGGCTTCTTCCCTTAGGTAATATCCATTTTGTTGTTGAGATTCCAAGGGTGTCCAACCTTTTGGTATCTCGGCCACACTGGAAGAAAAAGAATTGTCTTGGGCCACACATTAAATACATAGCTACACGTAATCACAAAAAAGCTCATAGTGTTTTAAGTAAATTTACAATTTTGTGTTGGGCTGCATTCACAGCCATCCTGGGATCCACGCAGCCTGCAGGTTGTGATCGGACACCCCTGAATCATTTCCTAAGGAAAACTATTCTGGCCCCTAAGTATTTCAGCATCTGTGATTCTCCTTCCTTTTCCCTTTCAAGGTGTGAAATTTTGTGTGTAATTTATGCTGAATGTGTGGTTTTTTAAAGATTTTATTAGAGAGAAGGGAGGGAGAGAGGGAGAGAAACATTGATGTGAGAGAGAAAAGAGAGAAAACAGTGATCTGTTGCCTCTCTTAGGCTCCCCAGCAGAGGACGGAACTGCAACCCCCAACCCAGGCACTTGCACCCACCAAGAATCAAACCTGTGACCTTTCACTTTGTGGAAGGGTGCCCAACCAACTGAGCCACACAGGGTCAGGGCCTCAACGGGTATCTTAATAGACTGAGACTCAGGGACATGGTCCCTGAGGTAAAGGCAGGGGCCATGGCTGCTTAGCTCTCACTCTTTTATCTTCTATGTTTGTATAGCGTAGGCTCATACAGAGTAGGCTCTGATAAATGTTTGTTGAATGAGAGAATCAAGATCAGGTCTGGGTAGTGTTTTAGGTGGCCTTGGGTTTCGGTTTAAGGAGGGGACAATAGCACCTGCAGAGAGGGAGGAAGGTTGTTGAGTGGGCCATCTGAGGACAGCAGTGAGTGGTCCCTGTGGAGAGTGGGCCCAGCAAAAAATCAGAGACATGTAAAGTGTTCTGGAGGGGTTCTGAGGGCCCAGCAGTTTTGGGGGCAGAGAGGCATCCAGGTCTCTTATGTAATTTCTTCTTGCAGCTTGATGTCAATGTAAAGGATTGTCTCACCTTTGGGGCTCATAAGGTGGATATGTTTCTACATTCTGGGCAAGTATGTGAGTGAAGGAGGAGTTGGAAGGCAATAGGGAATAATCTATTGGTTAGATTAACCAGTTTACAAAGTAGTAATAACTGAATTCATTCTTTCTTTCTTTCTTTCTTTTTAAGAGAGAGAAACATCAGATATGAGAGATATTGCTTGGTTATCTCCTCTATGCGCCCACACCCTGAATTTAAAGTGCCTGGACCTGGGCTTTAGCTCCTAGACCGGGGTTTGAACCCACAACCTAGGCATGTGCCCTGACTGGGAATTGAACTGGCAACTTTTCAGTTACAGGATGACACTCCGACCAATTGAACCACATTGGCCAGGGCAATAATTGAATTCTTAAGCAAATTACATTACAGGAATTCTGCTTAGTGAGCGCTGATTTCTTGTTTGCTACCCTGTATTGAAAGTCCCCTGAAGACAAAGACTTTTCATATTTGTATTTTATTCTCCACCAGTGTCTTGAACAGAGAATTTAAAATAGATGATTGCTGAAAGAATGAATTAAGGGGAAAAGTTAAAAGGCCCCAAAGTGGCAAAATTTCCAGAGCTGGGACAAGGCTAGGTGAAGATACCTCTTTAATTCTTTTTGCTAGTCCTTAGTTCTCCTTAGAAACAATCCTGAATTTTAGGGTTAGGGCCAGGAAATCCTGGTTGGGAAGTAGATAATGATGTATTAATGAAGGATCATATTTTCTTATAAAACTTTAGGAATCGGGCTACCTTTAACAAAACCAATGGAGTAATTTATTGGATGCTTGCTATGTGCCTTTATATCATTTCCTATAGTTCTTACAAGAGCCCAGTGATTAGACTGACACCAAATTACAGAGAGACTCAAAGCTCTTCAGAAGTTGCAGGGCCAGTATGTGGGGTCAGGCCTGTGGAATTTGAAAAGTTCACGTTAATAGGGCCTTATTAGAAAAAATGTTAATTATGATTGAAGAAAACTCTGAGCCCTGTCTTCAAGGCCTAGAAAGCAATTTTGCTCAGGGACACCAGAGTGAGCTCATAAGGTACACCCAGGTCTGCACCCAGAAGAGGCAAGACCCTTTGTGATTTTACAGGTGACTTGTTCTATGCCACTATTTTCTCTTTGGGTATAGTTTCTGGGATACCCGAAATTAAGGAACGTACCAGTTTGGGCTGTATTTTCCACCTCCTCATTCCCTGGACCAGGACACTGGAGAGAGAAATAGTGAATTGTTACCAGACAGGATTGTTATGGAAACAAAGCTGAACAAAACATTGTGAAAGGTGTTGAAATTGAGTACAAAATGTATTTGGTCAGACTGATCTTGCCTTTTGACTTTATTCTCAGTCTCAGGTTGTTTCCTTGTTTCTCAGGAAGTACCTAGATGCTGCTCTTTCTTCTTAAATGGCCTCTCACCAATTTGCCCATAGAAATTAGTGATTTATTTTAAGAGAGAAGTTAAAAATGCTTTCATTCACAATAGTCCATGTTTTTATTGAGCCTCCTTTTGCAAAGTGAATCGTTAATGGATTGACTGATTTTCTGAACTTACTTTTTAAACAGCACGAATAGAGATCAAAATAAAAGGAACAAGATAGATAGTCTGATACCTACAGATTTAAAATTTCAATGTGCCCTTCCAGGATTGTTCCAGTGTGACTGCTGGCTATGTGTTAAAGCAAGAGGCGCCAGCGCTGTAGGCAAAAGCCCAGGCCCAGGATTCTGGCCTCAGAGGATTGTGTGTCAGCGCCAATGCCAGTAGCCACAGCCTCATGCTGCTGGCCAGGCTCCCCCTCAGCTCCAGGAGGCTGTGGCACAAATACAGAAAGTGGAGAAGCAGCAAACCAAGGTGATTTTGTAGAACTTTCCAGACAGACTTCTTATATAAATGTGTCTGGAAAAAGTCCAGCCACTGTTAATGTAACATGAATTGTTTGTGCAACTTCACTGTACTAGTCAGTGGGAGTGGTAGATGCCTTTGAGGGAGCATGTGTACTGTGTGGCCGTCACATTCAAAATGGCTGAGCGAGCAGAGTAACAAATCTGCATCAAATTTTGCATTAAACCTGAACATTCCTCCGCAGAAACTGTTTGGATCATTCAAAAGGCCGCAGCTATGGGCAACTGGTGATTGGCAGCTTCATCACAACAACACCCCTGCTCACACATCATGTCTCATGCAGTTTTTTTGCAAAACATCAAATTACCCAGGTGACTCAGCCTCCCTATAGCCCAGATTTGGCACCCTGCGACTTCTGGCTTTTCCAAAACTAGAATAAACTTTAAAAGGGAACAGACTTCTGACCATCAGTGAGATTCAGGAAAATACAACAGGGCAGCTGATGGTGATGGGGAAAACTGTGTGAGGTACCTACTTTGAAGGGGACTGAGGCATCATTCTCCTATGTACGATGTTTCTTGTATTTTGTATCTTCTTCAATAAATGTCTTTTTCATAGTACATGGCTGGATACTCGCTGGACAGACCTTGTATGTGCAAATGTTCTTGGGCAAGATACAGTCCTGCTTTTAAAAATTATTTAAATGGCATCATGAATGGCAGCTGGGAATTTTTGTGAGAGTGAGACCAGATTATAGAGAGCTCATCCTTTGGACTTCATTTCACCATCACCACTACATGCGTTCAGTATTTATTGACTGTTATATGTGACAGGGAATATAACAGTGAGCAGCACTGATGGTTTTTCCTCACTCATGAAGTTTCCATCCTAGTGGAGGAGATAGTCTCAAAAAATGAGATTGTGGTTAGTTGCCTCCAAGGTGGCTCCCAACGATCCCTGCTTCCTGGCATTCACATCATGTGCAGTCCTCTCCCACATTTTCCCAGGGTTGGTTTCTGTGACCATTAGCGACAGGTTCTAAAAAAAGACTTCAGCTTCTGCAGCTGCTCACACATTCTGTTAGATCACTCCCTCTGTGGGAAGTTGCCATGTTGTGGGACACTCAGGCAGCCTGTAAAGAGGCCCACTTGACAAGGAATGAACTGAGGCCTGCCAATAACCACATGTGTGAATTTGGAAGTAAATCCTTCAGCCCCTGGTGAACCTTGAGATGACTGTAACTCTGGTCAATAGGTTGACTGGAACCTTATGGAAGATTCTGTATTTCTGACTCACAGAAACTTTAAGAAAGTAAATGCTTGTTTTAAGCTGCTGTGTTTAGGGATCACTTGTTGTTATACGTCAATAGATAACTAATACAGAAACAGATGAAATAATTAAAATTGAAAATAAGTGCATACATCAAC